TCTCTGTAATTGTTATAAGGAGTTCGGTCTAGACCTGTTCTATTTGAAAAGTGTCCTGAGATAACTTCTGTTATGAATTGGCGCTATACAAATAACATTTAATTGAATTGTTATAACCAAATCGGCCATCACTATTGTTATGACAACCAAAATTGTATATATAGTAATAATAATATATTCCTTCTGTTGTCCGTCCCTCCAGAGCTCCCACAGCAACATGTCTTTGTGGAAGAGGAGGTTCCTGCTGACCAGCAGCTCTTTAACCAGGAGAGGAGCACCAGTCCGAATCCAGAGGACCCAGAGCCTCTACAGATTAAAGAGGAAGAGGAGGAACTCTGCACCAGTCAGCATGGAGAGCAGCTTGACCTAAAGCAGGAGACTGATACCTTTATGTTTACATATGAGGAAAGTGACCACAGTGAACCAGAACCAGAAAGAGACCACCAGCTCCTCTATAACAACCCTCATGTAGCTGAGAGCCGAGATCAGAAAGAGGTCAAGCATGAGGACTCAGGATCAGAGCAGAACAGTCAACACGAAGGTCACTGTAGCAATGTTTACAACCCTAACATGTCAGGGATCGGACATAACACTCACACAGCTCAGAATTCTTTCAAATGTGACACTTGTGGAAAAGAGTTTAGGCATAACTCAAAACTGCAGAGACACGCGAGAGTCCACACAGGGGAGAAGCCGTATTCCTGCAAAACATGTGGGAAAGATTTCAGATTCAGCAGCGGCTTAAAAGTCCACATGAGAACGCACACAGGAGAGAAACCGTACCTTTGCAACACCTGTGGCAAAAGATTCAGTGACATGCCAGGATTAAAAAAGCATGTTAGAATCCACACAGGAGAGAAACCGTACCTTTGCAACACCTGCGGGAAAAGGTTCGGTGACATGCCTGCTTTGAAAAAGCACATGAGAATCCACACAGGTGAGAAGCCGTATTCCTGCAAAACATGTGGGAAAGATTTCAGATGTAGCGGTGACTTGAAAGTCCACATGAGAACACACACAGATGAGAAGCCGTATCTTTGCAAGACCTGCGGGAAAGGATTCGGTGAGCTGGCGGGATTGAAAAGGCATATAAGAATCCACACAGGAGAGAAGCCCTATTCCTGCAAAACATGTGGGAAAGATTTCCGATTTGGCAGTTACTTGACAGTCCACATAAGAAGAGCCCACACTGGGGAGAGGCCGTACCTTTGCAAGATCTGTGGGAAAAGATACTTTGACGCGTCTCATTTGGCAAAACATATAAGAACACACAGCAAAGTAGCTTTGTAGTTGTAAAATATGTGGCACACGATTTAGTTCTAGTGTTTTGTGGACAAAACGCAGAAAAACCTCTTGTAGGTGATTGTACGGTGCAAAACATTTTACTCAAATCACACTTAAAAAAAACAACAACCGGTGATCAATATAAACGGGACGAGGGGGTCTCCTGTATAGACGTGCCTGAGTGAAATGGAGAGGACTACAGGACATAACAAAAAAATAGGACATTAAAGTCCCCTGAAATAAATCTTCATCCTTTTTTTAAATATAAAAAAAGTATTTATTTATTGAAGTCTAGATAGATCGATTAATCGTTCGTCGATTATTTTGCATTTTCGGCATCGATCTACCGATGCTGTAGAACAATGTTAGCGCTCTCCTTTGTGAGTTTTTGGGAAGGTGGTAAAAAAAAGTTAGTTTCCAGCCATCTATCCTGCTGTAAACCTTTGCTTAAATTTCCTCGTCTTTTCTAAATATTAAGACTTTTCTCACGTCCTAAGTGAAAGCTAATCTAATCTAAACCCATTACTGGCTAGTGTTTTATATATATATTTAAATATAAATATGATGTTATAATAATGCAGCTGAATGAGGTCGTTAGACATACTATAACCCCCGTTCTTCCTTAAATACATTCACATTCTGTAATCTATGGCATTAACCAATGTATTTTTCTGTTTCATTAATAAAAATGTTAATGTTAATTTTAACAACAAGTTACTGGCTAAGATAACTAAGTTTATTGTGCATGGAATGATACATGACGTTTCTTTGTTTTAATATCAGCATTACACATCGGCCTTCAGTCACACTGCTCTCTAAATATCAGTGTCGGCCATTGAAAAACCCATATCGGTCGAACACTAAAGTATAATTAGCCATTTATATGTTTATTGCCTCATTTATATCATATTTATGTATTTCATAGCCATATTTTGCGTTTGTTTGCATTCAGCTCAAGCTCAACTTGCTGATTTTAAAAGGTCCGTTTTGTAACATTTAGGAGGATCTGTCTGCAGATATTGAGCATAATATTCATAGGTATGTTTTCATTATTGTATAATCACCTGAAAAAAAGAATTGTGTTTTACAATGAGCCGTTTTATCTACAGAGG